GGGGGACAACAGAGGGGGACAACAGAGGGGGACAACAGTGGGGGACAACAGTTGGGGACAACAGTGGGGGACAAAAGTGGGGGACAACAGAGGGGGACAACAGTGGGAGACAACAGTGGGGGACAACAGTGGGGGACAACAGAGGGGGACAACAGAGGGGGACAACAGTGGGGGACAAAAGTGGGGGACAACAGAGGGGGACAACAGAGGGGGACAACAGAGGGGGACAACAGTGGGGGACAACAGAGGGGGACAACAACAGTAGGGGACAACAGTGGGGGACAACAGAGGGGGACAACAGTGGGGGACAACAGTGGGGGACAAAAGTGGGGGACAACAGAGGGGGACAACAGAGGGGGACAACAGTGGGGGACAACAGTGGGGGACAAAAGTGGGGGACAACAGAGGGGGACAACAGAGGGGGACAACAGTGGGGGACAACAGTGGGGGACAAAAGTGGGGGACAACAGAGGGGGACAACAGTGGGGGACAAAAGTGGGGGACAACAGAGGGGGACAACAGTGGGGGACAACAGAGGGGGACAACAGAGGGGGACAACAGAGGGGGACAACAGTGGGGGACAACAGTGGGGGACAATAGGGGGGATAACAAAGGGGGGACAAAAAGATAAAAAGGGGGGGAGGGACAAGTTGGTGTGGATGATTGTGGGTGAGTATGTGTAGATAATAATGTTATAGCCGTTGAGTGTCTGTGTGTGTGTTTGTTGTGGTCTACATCTGGTTATATGGACTTCGATGCGAAGTGCATCGTCTTGCCTTAAAATTAAACAATGCTATACAGACTGATACAGACTGATACAGACTGATATAAACTGATACAGACTGATATAAACTGATACAGACTGATATAAACTGATACAGACAGGTGGATACATACGGATTTAGACAAATTCAAACTCAGAAAAAGTTAGACAGACGAACTTAATCCAAAAGTCAGAAAACCTCAGAAAAACCTGAACAAATTCAGACAGATTCACTCGGACAAATCTAAACCAGTTTCTTCGAAGAATTTCCCCCTCCCCCCCCCCCCCCCCCACCTCCCGAACGAAATGAAATGTATATAGAAAGCATATACTTTTACCTCCCCCACCGGAAAATTTTCTCCTCACCCCCAAAAAATCAAGTGCCTTCTTCCCCCCCCTACCCCCACCCCCCCTACCCCCCACCCCCCCCCCCCCCCCCACACCCACCACCACATGAGAAAGAGGTCTGGAAGAAATACTGATCTAAACCCAGACCAATTCAGACAACCTCAAATAAACTAAGACCAATTTATATACTCAGACAATCTTAGACAAAGTTAGACAACCTTAAAGTACCTGAAACCAATTAAGACAGATTAAGAAAGATTAAGACAGATTAAGACAGATGCGTACATTAAATTTTCAAACCTTAACCCCAGCTGGGAAGAAGCAGACAATGAAAGCTGAAATGCCGTGTTGTTCCTCCCACCCACCCCCTTTTTATGTGAATAACTTGACGTTGATGTCATTGTCTTGACATCATTGCATCTTGCTACAGGCTGAAAGAAATTGTTTGCCCGAAGTTTTCTTTAATTCGGTTTCTGTTGTTTTTTTGTTCAAACCCAAGTTAATTATCTGGAAAAACCAGCTAGTTAACACAGACTCACAGATGTTGACATAGACACAAAGATGTTGACATAGACTCACAGATGTGGACATAGACACACAGATGTTGACATAGACACAAAGATGTTGACAGACACAGATGCTGACATAGACACACAGATGTTGACATAGACACACAGATGTTGACATAGACACACAGATGTGGACATAGACACACAGATGTTGACATAGACACACAGATGTTGACATAGACACACAGATGTTGACATAGACACACAGATGTTGACATAGACACAAAGATGTTGACATAGACACAAAGATGTTGACATAGACACACAGATGTTGACATAGACACAAAGATGTTGACAGACACAGATGTTGACATAGACACACAGATGTTGACATAGACACAAAGATGTTGACATAGACACACAGATGTGGACATAGACACACAGATGTTGACATAGACACACAATGTTGACATAGACACACAGATGTTGACATAGACACACAGATGTTGACATAGACACACAGATGTGGACATAGACACACAGATGTTGACATAGACACACAGATGTTGACATAGACACACAGATGTTGACATAGACACACAGATGTTGACATAGACACACAGATGTGGACATAGACACACAGATGTTGACATAGACACACAGATGTTGACATAGACACACAGATGTTGACATAGACACACAGATGTTGACATAGACACAAAGATGTTGACATAGACACACAGATGTTGACATAGACACAAAGATGTTGACAGACACAGATGTTGACATAGACACACAGATGTTGACATAGACACAAAGATGTTGACATAGACACACAGATGTTGACATAGACACAAAGATGTTGACATAGACACACAGATGTTGACATAGACACAAAGATGTTGACATAGACACACAGATGTTGACATAGACACAAAGATGTTGACATAGACACAAAGATGTTGACATAGACACACAGATGTTGACATAGACACAAAGATGTTGACATAGACACAAAGATGTTGACATAGACACACAGATGTTGACAGACACAGATGCTGACATAGACACACAGATGTTGACATAGACACACAGATGTTGACATAGACACACAGATGTTGACATAGACACACAGATGTGGACATAGACACGCAGATGTGGACATAGACACACAGATGTTGACATAGACACACAGATGTGGACATAGACACACAAATGTTGACAGACACAGATGTTGACATAGACACACATATGTTGACAGACACAGATGTTGACATAGACACACAGATGTTGACAGACACAGATGTTGACATAGACACACAGATGTTGACATAGACACACAAATGTTGACAGACACAGATGTGGACATAGACACACAGATGTTGACATAGACACACAGATGTGGACATAGACACACAGATGTTGACATACACAGATGTTGACATAGACACACAGATGTTGACATAGACACACAGATGTTGACATAGACACACAGATGTTGACATACACAGATGTTGACATAGACACACAGATGTTGACATAGACACACAGATGTTGACATAGACACACAGATGTTGACATAGACACACAGATGTTGACATAGACACACAGATGTTGACATAGACACACAGACTGGGTACACCTGAGGACAGTTGGAGAGTCTAGCCAGGACAGAGATGCCTGGACAGCTCTCGTCTTTGGTCTACCTTAATGTCCATTATATTATAAGACTTGTCTAAATCTAGTTAAAATAACTATTATATTTGAAATTGTGACCAATTTTTTTTGTCCACATCAAACCATTTGAGCAGACAGGATGTATATAGAGCCAGTATTTCAGAGCAAGTGAGTTTGTTTGTGTTTGTAAATCTACCCCTGCTTGATGGGAAATTTGAGCAGACAAGACGTATATAGAGCCAGTATTTCAGAGCAAGTGAGTTTGTGTTTGTAAATCTACCCCTGCTTGATGGGAAATTTGAGCAGACAAGACGTATATAGAGCCAGTATATCAGAGCAAGTGAGTTTGTTTGTGTTTGTAAATCTTCCCCTGCTTGATGGGAAATTCATGCCATCAGCTTGAGGAACGGGATTGGAAAATTGAGTTATACACGACTTTACAGGAAGGAAGGGAAATGGTTAACTGGATAAAGTAAAGATAATTAACTAATGAATCATTGGTTTAATTACAAAACACTTGTGTAATCGGCATATCACAACACTGTTCGTGGAGGCCCAACCAGACGGCTAGATCAAATTATTGACCTAATTCACGTCAATGGTGACCTAATTCACGTCAATGGTGACCTAATTCACATCAACTGTGACCCAATTCATGTCAACTGTGACCTAATTCACATCAATGGTGACCTAATTATGGTGACGTTCACAGACTTCAACCATTCAAATTGCGGAACTGTCTAGAGTTGACTGTCTGGACATTGACTGTCTGGACGTTGACTGACTGGATACTGACCTTGTATATAAACGAGACAGTCATTAGTAACGTCTGGAAGATTTCATTTAATTTGCTAAATTCATTAAAGTTTCAAATTGAATTGACTGTGGCTGAGCTCCTTGTAAAACTCGGCGATGTTTTCTATCCGTAGAAACCTTACTACGCATGTCTCACTGAGCTATCAGCTGCGCATGCGCTAGTTTAAAACGGGGCGTGGCATTGACTGAAGCTAACCAAAAGTGATTTATGCAAATTTCCCCCGACTGCTCGATCCTCTGAGCAGATTTTCTCCGGCTTAATTATGAGGCCAAAAACTTTCTCTCGGCCAAAATATAATTGGGAGGATCGGGTTGCCTACATTTTTGGCAATTCAGGTTTATAAACAGGGAAATTAGAGTAGGCTATTAAGGCGGGGCTCGGTACCAGAACGGTAACGGACATTAAGGGGAGAAAACCGTTGGTTGTTGGACCTGTCCGGACATATGGGTACAGGATATTTTGGAGCTAACCAGGTTCCCATAGTTACCGGAGATTTCTCATAGTTACCTGAGAAGATTTCACATAGTTACCTGAGATTTCCCATAGTTACCTGAGAAGATTTCCCATAGTTACCTGAGAAGATTTCCCATAGTTACTAGAGAAGATTTCCCATAGTTACCTGAGTAGATTTCCCATAGTTAACTGAGAAAATTTCCCATAGTTACTAGAGAAGATTTCCCATAGTTACCTGAGATTTCACATAGTTACCTGAGATTTCCCATAGTTACCTGAGAAGATTTCCCATAGTTACCTGAGAAGATTTCCCATAGTTACCTGAGATTTCCCATAGTTACCTGAGAAGATTTCCCATAGTTACTAGAGAAGATTTCCCATAGTTACCTGAGAAGATTTCCCATAGTTACCTGAGAAGATTTCCCATAGTTACCTGAGTAGATTTCCCATAGTTCCCATGACCAGCAGTACAGGTGGCACATACAGTAGCAGCACCTTAGCGACCTTGAACTCTGGCATGACCTTGAAGATTGGCGTCGAACGGTTTAACACGGCAGAGATCAGGTCATCCCTGCGGACAAAATGTTACAGTAAGGTGTAACAAATGTTACAGTAAGGTGTAACAAATGTTACAGTAAGGTGTAACAAAGGTTACAGTAAGGTGTAACAAATGTTACAGTAAGGTGTAACAAATGTTACAGTAAGGTGTAACAAATGTTACAGTAAGGTGTAACAAATGTTACAGTAAGGTGTAACAAATGTTACAGTAAGGTGTAACAAATGTTACAGTAAGGTGTAACAAATGTTACAGTAAGGTGTAACAAATGTTACAGTAAGGTGTAACAAATGTTACAGTAAGGTCTAACAAATGTTACAGTAAGGTGTAACCAATGTTACAGTAAGGTGTAACAAATGTTAGAGTAAGGTGTATCAGATGTTACAGTAAGGTGTAACAAATGTTACAGTAAGGTGTAACAAATGTTACAGTAAGGTGTAACCAATGTTACAGTAAGGTGTAACAAATGTTAGAGTAAGGTGTATCAGATGTTACAGTAAGGTGTAACAAATGTTACATTAAGGTGTAACCAATGTTACATTAAGGTGTAACAAATGTTACAGTAAGGTGTAACCAATGTTACAGTAAGGTGTAACAAATGTTACAGTAAGGTGTAACAAATGTTACAGTAAGGTGTAACAAATGTTACAGTAAGGTGTAACAAATGTTACAGTAAGATGTAACAAATGTTACAGTAAGGTGTAACCAATGTTACAGTAAGGTGTAACAAATGTTAGAGTAAGGTGTATCAGATGTTACAGTAAGGTGTAACAAATGTTACATTAAGGTGTAACCAATGTTACATTAAGGTGTAACAAATGTTACAGTAAGGTGTAACCAATGTTACAGTAAGGTGTAACAAATGTTACAGTAAGGTGTAACAAATGTTACAGTAAGGTGTAACAAATGTTACAGTAAGGTGTAACAAATGTTACAGTAAGGTGTAACAAATGTTACAGTAAGATGTAACAAATGTTACAGTAAGGTGTAACAAATGTTACAGTAAGGTGTAACCAATGTTACAGTAAGGTGTAACAAATGTTACAGTAAGGTGTATCAGATGTTACAGTAAGGTGTAACAAATGTTACATTAAGGTGTAACCAATGTTACATTAAGGTGTAACAAATGTTACAGTAAGGTGTAACCAATGTTACAGTAAGGTGTAACAAATGTTACAGTAAGGTGTAACAAATGTTACAGTAAGGTGTAACAAATGTTACAGTAAGGTGTAACAAATGTTACAGTAAGATGTAACAAATGTTACAGTAAGGTGTAACAAATGTTACAGTAAGGTGTAACAAATGTTACAGTAAGGTGTAACAAATGTTACAGTAAGATGTAACAAATGTTACAGTAAGGTGTAACAAATGTTACAGTAAGGTGTAACAAATGTTACAGTAAGGTGTAACCAATGTTACATTAAGGTGTAACCAATGTTACATTAAGGTGTAACAAATGTTACAGTAAGGTGTAACCAATGTTACAGTAAGGTGTAACAAATGTTACAGTAAGGTGTAACAAATGTTACAGTAAGGTGTAACAAATGTTACAGTAAGATGTAACAAATGTTACATTAAGGTGTAACAAATGTTACAGTAAGGTGTAACAAATGTTACAGTAAGGTGTAACAAATGTTACAGTAAGGTGTAACCAATGTTACAGTAAGGTGTAACAGATGTTACAGTAAGGTGTAACAGATGTTACAGTAAGGTGTAACATATGTTACATTAAGGTGTAACCAATGTCACATTAAGGTGTAACAAATGTTACAGAAAGGTGTAACCAATGTTACAGTAAGGTGTAACAAATGTTACATTAAGGTGTAACAAATGTTACAGCAAGGTGTAACAAAACTGAAGATATATTGTAAGAAAACTTACGTCAGATTGTACTTGTGACGTAAGACAAAGCTGAGCTCGTGGTGGTCCGATAAATTCAACATCATCAGGACCTTGAGGGCGTCTTCTAGAACCATCGTGGCTACTGGTCGGTCCTCCTCTAGGTCCTGCTCTATGTCCTGCGGTACGTCCTGCTGTATGTCCTGCCCCGTGTCCTCTTGTCTATCGTCCTGCAAGTCCCGCACTCTGTCGCTCCTGTCCAAAGTCATATTTGATCATATCTGACCTTGACCCTCAATACAACTCGTGTCAGTGTGACCTCACATTTTGGTGACGTAATGAGAGAAACTTCCGGTCCTGGTGCAGGGTTACATCACGTGACTTTATCTACACAGAGAGTTTGTGAACATCACTCAACATCATAACATAACACAAACATCACTCAACGCCATCACATTACACACACATCACTCAACATCATAACATTACACAAACATCACTCAACGCCATCACATAACACAAACATCACTCAACGCCAGTATCAAACTTTTGTCATTCGACGCTAGACAAAATGTCATAAACAAAATATCTCAGACAAAATATCAAATACAAAATATTTAAGATATATATATATATATATATATATATATATATATATATATATATATATATATATATATATATATATATATATCCAGGATAAATTATCTAACGGCATAATACCGTTATATTGGAAGATAGTCGATTTGTCGTCCTGAATTACTAAATAGATTATAAAAGTGTGACATTGTAAGATGAATGTATCATACTTATTAAAAGATCAAAATCCCAATTAAACCTACCTAAACAGCATTTAATTTTAAAAGGTATACTAAAAAAAAAATATAATTTTATTTAAAATTTAAAATACACTAGACTACCCTGTTTCCCGCTGGAAAACGGTCAATCGGCTTTACCGCACGACACAAACCGATATTGCCAACCTCTTCAACCCCAAATAAATACCTAATCTTACAAACTCACGATGTCCTTTGGGGTATCATTTTATGATGTCCATGAGAAAAAGGGAGGGTAGTAAACTTTAAATAGCATTGGTCCATTTTACTATTCCTATGTTAGCGAAATGCAAAAAGTGGAATTACACCACATTTAATGTGCAATGTCCCCTGGTCTCTAGGGTGTGACCTGGCTCCGTTTTGGGGTTCTCACGAATGTCACACTCGGCTATCTGCAAGCGTCACGAATGTCACACCCTGCTATCTGCAAGCGTCACGAATGTCACACCCTGCTATCTGCAAGCGTCACGAATGTCACACCCTGCTATCTGCAAGCGTCACGAATGTCACATCCGGTTATATGGAAGCGTCACGAATGTCACACCCTGCTATCTGCAAGCGTCACTAATGTCACATCCGGTTATATGCAAGCGTCACGAATGTCACACCCTGCTATCTGCAAGCGTCATGAATGTCACATCCGGTTATATGCAAGCGTCACGAATGTCACACCCTGCTATCTGCAAGCGTCACGAATGTCACAACCGGCTATCTACAAGCGTCACGAATGTCACACCCTGCTATCTGCAAGCGTCACGAATGTCACACCCTGCTATCTGCAAGCGTCACGAATGTCACATCCGGTTATATGGAAGCGTCACGAATGTCACACCCTGCTATCTGCAAGCGTCACTAATGTCACATCCGGTTATATGCAAGCGTCACGAATGTCACACCCTGCTATCTGCAAGCGTCATGAATGTCACATCCGGTTATATGCAAGCGTCACGAATGTCACACCCTGCTATCTGCAAGCGTCACGAATGTCACAACCGGCTATCTACAAGCGTCACGAATGTCACACCCTGCTATCTGCAAGCGTCACGAATGTCACAACCGACTATCTGCAAGCGTCACGAATGTCACACCCGGTTATATGCAAGCGTGCTTTATCTCGGTTTTTTCCTCTGATTTCGTCAAACCTGAATTTCGTTTTCTTGTTCGCAGATGGCACGCTACAGATGGCATGCTACTTGTCTCACGGATAGCCCATCCTCTTAAAGTTCCCCTCTTCATCCAATTTTTGTTTTTCCTCCCACATTCTTTCTTCTTCCTCCCAACCGTGTACGAGTGTCTGTTCATTGAAAGGGTATCAACTCACTTTGTTGGCCAAGACAGATCCTAAAGGAGAAGACAACTGTCCCCATTGGACGATACAACTATCATCTAGAAACAGATCCTAAAGGAGAAGACCCCATTGGACGATACAACTATCATCTAGAAACAGATCCTAAAGGAGAAGACAACCGTCCCCATTGGACGATACAACTACCATCTCAAGTCAAACAGTTGACTAATAGAACCTCATCCAACACCCGCTACTTGACGCCCCACCTCATCCAGCACCCGCTACTTGACGCCCCACCTCATCCAACACCCGCTACTTGACGCCCACCTGATCCAACACCCGCTACTTGACGCCCCACCTCATCCAGCACCCGCTACTTGACGCCCCACCTCATCCAACACCCGCTACTTGACGCCCACCTGATCCAACACCCGCTACTTGACGCCCAACCTAAATCCAACACCCGCTACTTGACGCCCCACCTGATCCAACACCCGCTACTTGACGCCCCACCTCATCCAACACCCGCTACTTGACGCCCCACCTCATCCAACACCCGCTACTTGACGCCCACCTGATCCAACACCCGCTACTTGACGCCCCACCTCATCCAGCACCCGCTACTTGACGCCCCACCTCATCCAACACCCGCTACTTGACGCCCCACCTGATCCAACACCCGCTACTTGACGCCCCACCTCATCCAACACCCGCTACTTGACGCCCCACCTCATCCAACACCCGCTACTTGACGCCCCACCTGATCCAACACCCGCTACTTGACGCCCCACCTCATCCAACACCCGCTACTTGACGCCCCACCTCATCCAACACCCGCTACTTGACGCCCCACCTCATCCAACACCCGCTACTTGACGCCCCACCTGATCCAACACCCGCTACTTGACGCCCCACCTCATCCAACACCCGCTACTTGACGCCCCACCTGATCCAACACCCGCTACTTGACGCCCCACCTCATCCAACACCCGCTACTTGACGCCCCACCTGATCCAACACCCGCTACTTGACGCCCCACCTCATCCAACACCCGCTACTTGACGCCCCACCTCATCCAACACCCGCTACTTGACGCCCCACCTCATCCAACACCCGCTACTTGACGCCCCACCTCATCCAACACCCGCTACTTAACGCCCAACCTGAGTCGGACACAAAATGTCAAGAATCTTGTTGATATGCTCTTGTTGATATGCTCTTGTTGATATGTTCTTGTTGATATGCTCTTGTTGATATGCTCTTGTTGATATGCTCTTGTTGATATGCTCTTGTTGATATGTTCTTGTTGATATGCTCTTGTTGATATGCTCTTGTTGATATGCTCTTGTTGATATGTTCTTGTTGATATGCTCTTGTTGATATGTTCTTGTTGATATGCTCTTGTTGATATGCTCTTGTTGATATGCTCTTGTTGATATGTTCTTGTTGATATGCTCTTGTTGATATGTTTATGTTGATATGCTTTTGTTGATATGCTTTTGTTGATATGCTTTTGTTGATATGTTCTTGTTGATATGCTCTTGTTGATATGCTCTTGTTGATATGCTCTTGTTGATATGCTCTTGTTGATATGTTCTTGTTGATATGTTCTTGTTGATATGCTTTTGTTGATATGCTCTTGTTGATATGCTCTTGTTGATATGTTCTTGTTGATATGCTCTTGTTGATATGTTCTTGTTGATATGCTCTTGTTGATATGTTCTTGTCGATATGCTCTTGTTGATATGCTCTTGTTGATATGCTCTTGTTGATATGTTCTTGTTGATATGTTCTTGTTGATATGCTTTTGTTGATATGCTTTTGTTGATATGTTCTTGTTGATATGCTCTTGTTGATATGCTCTTGTTGATATGCTCTTGTTGATATGTTCTTGTTGATATGCTCTTGTTGATATGCTTTTGTTGATATGCTCTTGTTGATATGTTCTTGTTGATATGTTCTTGTTGATATGCTTTTGTTGATATGCTTTTGTTGATATGTTCTTGTTGATATGCTCTTGTTGATATGCTCTTGTTGATATGCTCTTGTTGATATGCTCTTGTTGATATGTTCTTGTTGATATGCTTTTGTTGATATGCTCTTGTTGATATGCTCTTGTTGATATGTTCTTGTTGATATGCTCTTGTTGATATGTTCTTGTTGATATGCTCTTGTTGATATGTTCTTGTTGATATGCTTTTGTTGATATGTTCTTGTTGATATGTTCTTGTTGATATGCTCTTGTTGATATGTTCTTGTTGATATGCTCTTGTTAATACGTTCTTGTTGATATGCTCTTGTTGATATGTTCTTTTAGAAGTGACACGGTTGAAATAACAACACCGGACAGACACGGCTGAGTACACTTCACGTTCCGGTCGACCCTGATTGCATAACGAGTCAAGTGCGCCGCACGCAATACCTCGACCAACCCACTGACCAGAACGACGGTATTATCAGCCCCATTCTTCTACTCATCAGGAAACCGACCCAGCTAAGCCCCGCTCTCAAGATCAAAGATTCGCAACAAGAATAGAATTCATCCCCGCCCTGAGCTACCTGAGGCGGTGAAACAAAGGGCAGATAATCAAGAAAACAAATTGGAATAAATCGACCTCGTCTGCAAAATCTGAATTCCGCCCCTTGTGGTGAAAATCCCACCTATGTGGCATAGCAACCACTCTAATTAGCCAACCACAGTTACCCAACACTCTAGCTAACCAACCAGTCAAAAACACTCTAGCTAACCAACCAGTTACCCAACACTCTAGCTAACCAACCAGTTACCCAACACTCTAGCTAACCAACCAGTTACCCAACACTCTAGCTAACCAACCAGTCAACCAACACTCTAGCTAACCAACCAGTCAACCAACACTCTAGCTAACCAACCAGTTACCCAACACTCTAGCTAACCAACCAGTTACCCAACACTCTAGTTAACCAACCAGTTACCCAACACTCTAGCTAACCAACCAGTCAACCAACACTCTAGCTAACCAACCAGTTACCCAACACTCTAGCTAACCAACCAGTTACCCAACACTCTAGCTAACCAACCAGTTACCCAACACTCTAGCTAACCAACCAGTTACCCAACACTCTAGCTAACCAACCAGTTACCCAACACTCTAGCTAACCAACC